AATTGCTCAATTGGATGGGTGATCGGTGGATGAATATTAGCATAATTGTTTATGCAGAAAAAGATATATTTTTGAAGTTCGATAATGAAGTTATTGTACAACGATATCAAAATATAAAAACTCGCAAGGAACAAGTTTAATATATAAATTATGTCGGTTTTAGTATTATTGTAATATTGTTTTATTTTTTTATCATCATTAAATATATGATCAAAACCTCGAAGTTCGACGTCAAAAAATATTACTCGCACTGAACACAAATCCTGGCTTCGACCCTGATTGTTTGCCTAAAGTTTAAGTTCTGGAATTGCCTTGGGATAATAAAATATCTTCAACAGTTGTAGTAATTGATCTTGGAACTAGTGAGATGCTGGAGAGTGTAATTTGTCACTTGAACCTAAGGTTGGACAAGAACATCTAAGTAGGGATAGTGAAATCGAATAGAAACTATAATATGCTATTGAGATTTTCGATGACACAATAGAGGGCGATGATCTTTAGGTTGTTGATGAAATTAAAGATGGTGTGGATGAGAATGGGGATGGTTTTGTTGAAGCTAATGGTGTGGATGAGATAGGAGATGATGTGGATGAAATTGGGAATGGTGTTGTTGAGGCTGATGGTGTGGATAAGGCTGAGGATGGAGTTCAGGCATAGGTAAATGTTATAGAGCCAAATGAATATATAATAGAAGAAGATGCTATTGATGTTGGGATACAAGATGAGGAGTAGCCACATGTTGAACATAACATTGACTTTGTAGATGAAGAGCAACCACATTTTGAAATAATAGAGTTATGCCAGCCCACATTTTAGTTACCAACTACTGGACAAGATGAACAGAAGCATGCACAACCTAGAGAAGATGGTGCAAGAAACATTATCTATACAGATGATTAGGACATTGAACTTGAGGTAGAAGATGATAATGAAGATATCTTAGAAATTTTTTCTGATTATGATTAAGAACCAATGAATAATCAGGATGATGGCAAATACTTCAAGTTAAGTGAGGGATTTGACTTAGGAATGAATAATGTAAGCCATGAACAGGGAGAGGAACAACATGAAAATGAAGATAATAGTGCAACAGACTATGAGGAATTAGACGAACTTAGAAGCATGCCAAGTGAATGAAGAGGCTGCACCATCTGAGAGTAATAATGAACTGTGATTAAATTCTGCAATAGACATGGAACATTCTAAATTCAAGATTGGTAATCCATCTATACTAGAGAGTATGACATTATATTCATATAGAGTAATGATTTTGCTAATTATTATGTGTTATGCAGGTGTTGAAGAATCGGCCTCCAATTGGTGGATTTTCCGGGTTCAACATACCAATCTCAACCTTCACAACACCCAAACAAATCACGACCCAAACCTCAATCGATCTTCCACACTCCGATTGCTTTACCTTGTACCCACTAAGGACACAATAGGGACGGTGTTTTTTAGCCACAAAGGTTATGAAAAAAAAGAAGAAAATCAACCGAGAGAGAAAGAGGCAGGGAGTTTTCTTCTATAATGCAAGACAAAAACACACGTTCACATAGAAGACCAAGGAGGCTAGTATATATAGATTAGGTTAGGTCAAGGTGTGTGGGCCAAGTCCAATACAAATACCAGTAAGTGGGCTAACAAAATAAACCGTCCAATGAGTGTGA